AACACAGTGTAGTTCAACCCAGATTAACACTGTGGAACTTTAATGCAACACAAGTTATGAGTTAAGTCAAAATAGGTTATGTATGTTACATTAGAGACAGCAGTGATTCAAAGAGTTACTTTTTGGGACTACAGCTCGTAGACCTCTCCAGCTTGCACATTGGGTTATAGTCCAGACAAATAACTTTTCTAATCTCTGCAACATTCTTTACTATTTGAAGAGCTGTCAGAGGACAAACTTCTTTTTGAAGGTGCCCCCTATTTGTCTATTCCCCATCTGATTTAAAGAAAAGCATGTGATGATGGGTCCTTGAATCTGCCTGACAACAGTACATGGTTGCACTACACAATACAGAGGAAATGTGGGGGCAATGAGGCACACAACTCCAATCCTTGTTGGTGGCAGCAGGAGCCTTTTATTATCAGAGAGGTAGCTTGACTCCTATTAGTCTGTTTCAGCAACAACAAAAACAGAAGTATTGTGGCACCTGTAAGAATAACATATTTACTTCAATGTAAGCTTTTGTGAATTGTAATCCATTTCTCCAGACACATGGAGCCCAATATTTGGATCAACGCTTTATGTATAGTATATTTTGTTGCTAATTACATTGTTAACCCACCTTTCTTCTAAGGCAGCGGTTCCCAACCTTGGATAATCAGGGGGTTCTTGGACAGCAGTTCCCAGAAGGCTTTGCCACCAGCTGTGCTGGCCAGGGTTTCTGGGAGTTGCAGTCCAAGAACACCTGGCCTGCCCAAGGTTGGGAACCACTGATCTAAGGCAGTGGTCCCCAACCTTGGGCCTCCAGGTGTTCTTGGACTTCAACTCCCAGAAATCCTGGCCAGCAGAGTGGTGGTGCCTGCCAAATGTTGGGAACCACTGAACTAAGGCAGTGGTCCCCAACCTTGGGCCTCCAGGTGTTCTTGGACTTCAACTCCCAGAAATCCTGGCCAGCAGAGTGGTGGTGAAGGCTTCTGGGAGTTGTAGTCCAAGAACATCTGGAGGCCCAAGGTTGGGGACTGCTGATCTAAGGGGTTCGAGAAAGCTTGCAAGGTTCCTCCTGCTGCCTCAGTTTTACTCTCATAAGAGCTCTATGAGGCAAGGAAGGAAGGCTGAGTGAGAGACTGGAATTAAGGTGGCTGTGTGTCTTACCTTGCAGAGGACTTTCCTCTGTCTTCCATATGGAGGTATCCTGTATGAAATTTGCCTATATTATAAACAAAATTACAAAATTGTAAGGTTATCAAGAATTGGCTCTGAGACGTCTGAGAAGAGAATCACTCATTTCATTTTGAACTGCTGAACAGAAGATGCTTTGGATGTCCTGTTGCTGGGAAGCAGAAACATAGACTATAAAGAACTTAACTCCGTGTGTTGAGAAGTTAATCTTGTTATGGCAGACAGTTGTTCACCTATATTTCAACAGGGTCTTACTTTATGCGCTAGCTTCAGAATGTAACTGTTGCTAACCTTTCCCAAAAGGATTTTTTTTAAAAAAGCATCACACATAATCTTCTTCTCAAATATTTATTTAATAAAAATAATCCCTCCATTTTTCAACATCTCACTTGTCTCTCAACCATCTTGCTCTGCCATCCTGTAAACAAGAAACAAGTGGAATTGTGGGTTCTCAAAATCTTCATCAAACCAAGTTAATGCAGACACTTCAAAAATGGTATCGACCATTATTTGACACTCATTTCCTTTTGCCAGGACACTGTAGTTTGTGCTTGTTAGGGAAGCAGAAATAACAATCCTTAATAGATAATTTTCAGCATCTTTAGTAAACCAAACCACATTGTTTGAAAAAAGCCATGACAAACCAGCATAAGACTGATATGCCGTTTTAGTGTAGGCACACTGGAAGAAAAATTGAATGTAAACTTAACAAGGGGTATTGGTTCAGTAGACAATATCTTTGCTTCTCTTGCCTTTCATCGCTGTCATCCTACCAACACACTACTCATTTCTTGTTTTTACATTACAGTATTTTGGTCTTCAGGGACAAAAGGCTGACTAGGAATTCACCTCCCATAACTAAGTCTAAGCTATCACGGATCTTAGAGGGGGATATTAGAAAGGAAGATAACTCTACTTCCACAAATGAGGAAACAAAGTGGATTCAGGCTTTAAACACAGCATTATTATACAATTTCCTGTTATACTGGGTGGACAACTAATTGAAATCCTGCCCAGAAGTACATTAAGCAATAGATTAAAATTCTATCTACCAACAATGGTTGCAATCCAAAAGTACTTTAGTGTATTACATTGCACTGAAAATCAATACATGTGGTTTGTGCTTATTTTTCTTTCAGTTGGGCAATAATATTTCAAGACTGAATTTTTGCAATATTACAGTCCAGTTGAAAAAAAATTGTATATATTTGCTTATGGGTACTATGTTAGTCACTAACCAATATATACTGAACATTATTGTACAGAAATTGAGAATTTTCAGATCAAGAACATCTTTAAACCTGAAAGTAATTTTTAATTTATTTCCAAAGGAAGTCAATCATTGTCTTCATCTTATTGTTATGTGCTGTCAAGTTGTCTCAGATTCATGGTGACCTACGAATGAGTGCTCTTCAAAATCTCCTGTCCTGTGGTTCCTTTAGTGAGTGTGAACATTATTGTACAGAAATTGAGAATTTTCAGATCAAGAACATCTTTAAACCTGAAAGTAATTTTTAATTTATTTCCAAAGGAAGTCAATCATTGTCTTCATCTTATTGTTATGTGCTGTCAAGTTGTCTCAGATTCATGGTGACCTACGAATGAGTGCTCTTCAAAATGCCCTGTCCTGTGGTTCCTTTAGTGAGTCAGTTCATCTCATATTTGGTCTCCCTCTTCTCCTGCTACCTTCCACTTTTTCCAACCTTCAATTTAGATTAATATTTCCCTCAATAAAGAGCACACAGATCAAATGCTTTCTTGATAACATATTGTCTTGGGAGTTAGCAGTGTATCCCTAAACAGAATGTTAACAATGAATTCTCCAAAATAGATGCCATCTGGATAATTTGCATTCAAATTGGAAACAAAAACAAAACAATTCTGTGCACTTACAGTACTAGTTTAGTAAAACAACAAAATATGGGATTTTTACTTTTGCCAGAATCACAATTTGGCACTTGTGATTACTGTTTTGGCTAGTAGAATTTGTTAATGGAAAACAAAGAAACTATTTCTATATACATATTCAACACATGTTCCTTTGCTTTAGAACAGAATATCAGAGTAATGTGAGGGTCCAGAGTTTCGGTTCCTTGCAAAAATAAAAAACAAAAAACCTTGTAAAGCTAATTTTTCTACTTCCTTTATAGGTCTAGGGCCATTTAGAGTTATAGATGAATACACTTCGGATAGACATGAGAGTAAATTTCCAGCTCTTCTTAATCCCAGAAAAATAATTCTAGTAACTAAAGAATTACACTGGTGTAAATCTGTTGCTTTACATTTCAGCAGCAAATAAAAAAGTCAGTGTAGACATTTAGTGTCATCATGAAGTAAGTGGTACAGCTGGTATATGAGATTCTTATGGTGTCTGCTTAAATAGCAGCAATTTGCTGCTGAGATTTATGCCAATACTCCAACAGGCATAAGATTCTGGCCATTGAAATAGAACACTGACACTGAAACTGCCTTACAGTACCAAAAGGCAGAGAAAGTTTGAATTTACAAAGTGATGAAAGTAGGAATTTCTGATATGTGCAAACTGGAGGCTCACCCATAACTGTATATATAATTTATACAGTGAAAGTGACTTTCCTCCTTATCTGAGTCCACCCCGGATTTATAAGTATATATATTTTAGACAGTGCCTTCTGCTAATCTATTAGAAGCAAACTGCTTTCCCCATGTAACATCCTCAGTAGGATGTTAAAAGAATGATCTTTCAAAGCATTTGAGACTACAACTGTCAATTGCCTGTGCTGGCTGAAGATTATAGGCATTTCAAATCAAAACCTGTGTTGGGAATTAAGTTGCCTACCTCTACGTTATTCAATATTCACTCAATTTATTATTTGATTTCTAAGTAAATAACAATGGTTACCTAACATGAAGCTGCCACAGTGGACTTTTTGTGGGGGACCACTAGCAGAGCATTTGAGGCCCCACTGCTCTCCGAGACTGCAACATTAGGCTGTGGGTTATTCTTTTTTTGACAAAATGCATTCACTAAAAGTTAATGTTTCTTTTGAGAGTTTTTATATCAGTGTTGTACTGTTCTATCTGCTACGGACAGATCTGACTGGAGCCCAGAAGGAAACAGCCGTCATAACTTGTTGACACAAAGAAAGCCCTGCCCTCTATAAATTTGTCTCACTCCCCCCCCCTTTAAAGTCATCTAGGGTGGTCTAGATGTTGGGCTAGATAGAACCTGGGGGCCACGACCCCCAAAGGGGTTGCAAAGTATTTTCTGGAGCGGGGTATCAGCTGCCTTGTTAAATAACTTCTTCCTTGACCTTTCACAGCGGGATATTAAAGTTAGCTTATATGTGTATGTATGAGAAGCCAGACCCTTGGGGGAGAAAGAAGCCTGTATTTTCTGGGAAGGGATGATTTTATGCCTTTTTATGTTAACATGGTGGTGGGGTTGCAGGTTACTTGGCTATTATAAAAGGGGATCATGACTCAAGAAAGATTGGGAACCACTGGTCTGAAAACAAAACAGACCTGACCCTGCTTAGCTTCTAAATCAGGGGTCTCAAACATGCGGCCCGGGGGCCATTTGTGGCCCCCCGGATGATAGTTTGTGGCCCTCGCCTTGCCTGCCGCCCCAAAGTGCCCACACATCCTCTGCTGTCAAGAGTAAAAAAAAAAACTTGCCTCGGTCGCCAGCTTTCTCCCAAGACAGCACCTCTTGCACCCTCCATCCAGAACTGCAGCCTGCCAGCCAGCCCACCTGTCTGTCGGCTAAGGAAACTCCTGGGCGGCTTCCTCGGGCTCTTGCTCCACTTGGTGGAAAATCTGATGTGACCCAGACTGTTCCTCTAGCGGCCCCCAGGTAAATTGAGTTTAAAACCCCTGTTCTAAATGTATATGGATGTCTTCTGGGGAACAAGGCTGTGACATATAGGACTTTTCAGAGGAAGGGGGAAGCAAGGGAGGACATCAGAGAAAGGTAGCAAATTATGCACCATTGCTACTTCTGCCATAATGTTGGCCCAGAACCCTCTCATGAAGCTAACTGGCTAGAGGTTCAGGACAAATAAAGGGAAATGTTTCTTTGTATGCTGCATTGCTTAACTGTGGGATTTGCTACCACAAGATGGTGGTGGTGGAGACTGTCCTAGATGACTTTGTGACCCAGTTGGGGGGGGTCATGACCCTCAGGTTGAGAAATACTGTTTTAGAGGAATGCAGTCAAGTCAAGCTAGGAAAGAATCCTACCTGAAACCCTGCCAGCCAGAGGTTGGCAATGTTGGGCTATATCGAACAAAGGCAAGGCTCAGTATAAGGCAGCTTTGTAACTGTGCATTAGTGCAGCTTTGTAACATCTGTGCATTAGTGGTCATTACGACAGTCTTAAAGCAGGAGCACAGTCTTACCAAAAAAGTTGTGCACCTTTATGGAAGGTAACACTGCAAATAGAGGGTGCCATGCAGACGAGAAACTGAACTGATACTTTACTTGTACAGCCACACCATGCTGCTCCGTGCAACACTATCTCTTATATGGCTATCCACTTGCTCTCATGCGGGGCTTGGAAAAATTAGTTTTTGGATGTTAATTTTTAGAATCTGCCAGTCTGCCAAATCGATGGCCATGTTTGCTAGGAGATTCTGTTATTTTAAAAAGTCATTCCCCCCACCCCCCAAGCTCTGCTATGCTGCAATGCCTGGGGAAAGAGGCACTTAAGATTTAACAATACTGTTTCTTGCATTAAATGATAGTCAACAAATTCAAACTCTGGAAGGGAAAGAAAAATATGATAAAACAGTAGCTTTAATCCTGCTCTACCAGTACCGTTACTTCTGTCACACTTGAACAAAATCACACTACCACTTCTTTGACTTTTATAACTGGGCAACTCCTTAATTTTCTTGAACTGGCCAGCCACTTACAATTCAACTACAACTATGTTCTGCAAGGCTTATTGCTTCATTCTGGAAGCAACCACTTATGCAGGAGAAAAAGAAGGTGATATACTGCTAGAGCTCCCTCCCCCATGTTTTAAATTAGTAAATGAATTTATTAAATAAAATAAAGTGCATAAAGTATCTAACTGATGGCTTGTCACATGCTTATATGAGGAAGGGGGCGCACAAAAAAAAAATCAAAGTTAGTAAAATAAAGGTGTCGGCGTTTCCTTTCCTTTCTCCCCGGGAACTTGCCTATTCCCGATTTTCTATGTCCTTTGGCACAGAGATGTGCTCTTGGGGGCGGGGGAATGATGCCAAAAACCAAATAGAAACTTTCAAGACCAGCTGGCTCCCAAGTTTAGGGGGCGGGTGTTAGCTGCAGTGCGTAGTGTCTTGATTCCAGAACTGGAGGGCGAAGGCCACGGCTGTAGGAAATGGAGGGGGGAGGGGGGAGATTGTGCTCATCTTCTTTGCTAATCAGTCTTTCCTGATTAGCTTGTAGCCCTGGAAAACAAACAAACAAGAGCAACATCAAAATAAAAATTGTGAGAGACTGCAGAGCAATAACTGCAAAGTGTCAACCAGCTTGTAATTATGAACTCTTTTGCCCAGCCACGATTTCACCCAAGGAAATTTAAGCCAGATGCTTATTATTTAGGACAGTGGGTCCCTAGATGTTCTTGGGCAAAAACTCCCAGAAGCCTTCTACAAGAAGTTATAGTCCAGGAACATCTGGGGAACCCGAGGTTGGGAAGTACTGTCGTAACAGAAGACAAAGGTGGAAATCTGTCCTGTTCTCCTCCCATTCCCTCTGAAAGTTAGTTCTTCTGAATGTGCTGAGAGAAGGAGCCAATGATCAAAAACTGCTTTCTGTTCCTACTGTGATCCTGGCCATAGTAACTGAGTACCTCCAGGAACTAGTGCTGTCTAAAGGACAGAAAAGCAACATCTGGTAGAACATCTCCCTATTGACGCACTCAATGACCTTGGCCAAATTACTGTGCTCTTTTTGTGGCCTCTCTGTGGTTTCACTTATGGGCTTTGGGAACATCTGAGAGCTCATGCCAAGAATATGGTGCTCATGTCCTTCCCCAAGGACAATGTTCTCTTCTGATTGTTGTGAATGTTTTCCATGAAATGTTCCTCCAATAGGGAGCCTTATTTAGCATTAGTAGTTTACTTTCTTTTTTCCTTCTGTTGAGCTGGATATTGATCTGTGTTCTTTGTAGATTGTCTTCAGAGTTTTCTGTGTAATTACTATTCAGAGAATATCTTTATAACATGTCCTTCCCCAAGGACAATGTTCTCTTCTGATTGTTGTGAATGTTTTCCATGAAATGTTCCTCCAATAGGGAGCCTTATTTAGCATTAGTAGTTTACTTTCTTTTTTCCTTCTGTTGAGCTGGATATTGATCTGTGTTCTTTGTAGATTGTCTTCAGAGTTTTCTGTGTAATTACTGTTCAGAGAATATCTTCATAACTTATTTATTTATTTAAAATATTTTTAATCCACCTTTCTCCTTAAATGGTCCCAGGGCAGTTTGCATAATAAAAATTCAATACTTAAAAGCTAAAATCAATAAGTAAACAAATATTGTAAAATATTTAAACAAGTTATTAGATTAAAAATAGTACATTAAATGAAATTCCACCAAGCATCAGAAAAAGTTGCAACTACGGATTAAGGTGAAGCTGAAAAAGTTTGATGTTTAGTTGTTAAGTCATGTCTGACTCTTTGTGACCCCATGGACCAGAGCACGCCAGGCCCTCCTGTCTTCCACTGCCTCCCGGAGTTTGGTCGAATTCATGTTGGTAGCTTCAATGACACTGTCCAACCATCTCGTCTTCTGTCGTCCCCTTCTCCTCTTGCCTTCACACTTTCCCAACATCAGGGTCTTTTCCAGGGAGTCTTCTCTTCTCATGAGATGGCCAAAGTATTGGAGCCTCAGTTTCAGGATGTGTCCTTCCAGTGAGCACTCAGGGTTGATTTCCTGCAGAATGGATAGGTTTGTTCTTTTTGCAGTCCAGGGGACTCTCAAGAGTTTCCTCCAGCACCACAATTCCAAAGCATCAATTCTTCAGCAGTCAGTCTTCTTTATGGTTCAGCTCTCACTTCCATACATCGCTACTGGAAAAAACATAGCTTTGACTATGCAGACCTTTGTTGGCAAGGTGAGGTCTCTGCTTTTTAAGATACTGTCGAGGTTTGTCATCTCTTTCCTCCCAAGAAGCAGGTGTCTTAATTTCGGGGCTGCTGTCACCACCTGCAGTGATCATGGAGCCCAAGAAAGTAAAATCTGTCACTGCCTTCATATCTTCCCCTTCTATTTGTCAGGAGTGATGGGACCAGTGGCCATAATCTTAGTTCTTTTAATGTTGAGCTTCAAACCATTTTTTCACCCTGATTACGAGGTTCTTTAATTCCTCCTCACTTTCTGCCATCAGAGTGGTATCATCTGCATATTGGAGGTTGTTGATATTTCTTCCGGCTATCTTAATTCTGGCTTGGGATTCCTCCAGTCCAGTCTTTCGCATGATGTATTCTGCATATAAGTTAAATAAGCAGGGAGACAATATACAACCTTGTTGTACTCCTTTCCCAGTTTCAAATCAATCAGTTGTTCCATATCCAGTTCTAACTGTTGTTTCCTGTCCCATATATAGGTTTCTCAGGAGATAAATAAGGTGATGAGGCACTCCCATTTCTTTAAGAACTTGCCATAGTTTGCTGTGGTCCACACAGTCAAAGGCTTTTGCACAGTCATTGAAGCAGAAGTAGATGTTTTTCTGGAACTCTCT